GCGCGGCTGAGAGAATCCTTGCAGCCGCGGGCTTATAGGAAATCCTTACAGCCGCGCCTAGGAAAATCCTTTACAGCCGCGCCTAGGAAAAAAACACGCTTCCGCCTTTGCTTTGCCTACTGCGGAAGTGCACTTCTCCGCTTCTGGCGGCCCTCCTCGTGGTCTTTTTGTTGCTTCTTAAGGTGCCTATGTCCTGGCACAAGGCCAGTTTGTCCAGCCATCCTGTTTGGATAGGTTGGTGCATTGACCTCACCACGTTTACTGTCTGCATGGAATCAGATAAGCAGAGCCGCTTGCTTCAGTTGCTGCTGTCCGTCCTGGAGGCCAGGCATGTATCCAGGCATGAAGTTGAGAGTCTGACAGGCAAACTCCTTTGGCTGTCCGGGCTGTTTTCCTTTCTTCGCGCTTCTCTGGCCGCGCTTTATTACCTGCAGCATTCTGGCCAATTGGTCATGGCCGCCCTTACTCCTGATCAGTGGGCCTCACTGCACCTTCTGCTCAATGCTGACCTCTCGGTTACTGGTTCTATAGGGCACCCCTCCGTCCCTGTGGGCTCAAAGCTCACCAGGCTGGCACGCCTGCCAGTTGCGGCATTGTCTGACATCCTTGCTTGGCTGCTCGAATCTCGGCGTATCTGGGTGCAGGTCTGTCGTCGTCACACGCCGTCTGTCCCAGTGACTGACGATGTACGTGAAGTCTTGTCACTCTTGAAGGACTTTCTGCACCAGTCCACGTGTAAGCAGTGCATTCTGATGTCTCCTGCATTTCAGTGTGAGGCCTTTGCAGATGCCTGTGCAGACAGCTCTTCTGTGGGTCTGGGAGGTTACGTCAAGTTTCCTTCTGGCCTCAAGCGTTTCTTCCAGGTGACGCTCTCCAAGGCGGCCTTGTGTGCGCTTTGCCCTTTCTTTCCCTGGGATGGGAATCTTCAGCATTTCATTGCTGCATGGGAGCTGCTGACTCAGTGCGCTCTCATCTGGACTGTTCATGCCATGCTGCCTCTTGCTCATCCTAATGTGCACATCTTCCTCAGGTGCGACAACTCTGCCTCTCAGTCTGCAGCATGGAAAGGCCTTTCACTGGCTAGGGGTCTGTGTGCCGTCTTGCGCCAGTTTTGCGATCTGCAACGCAGAACTTTATTTCTGCGCGCATAGAGCATGTGCCTGGATTTCTCAATGATGTGGCCGATTCTCTCAGCCGTGAAGGGGATCCCAGCCAGTTAGGCGCCTGTGCAGAAGACAGGGTTTGCCCTCCCTGGCGTGAACTCCTGAGTCCTTTGCAGCCCCAAGTCTCTCCGCTTGAGGCCGATCTGGCGCAGCACGTTCCTGCTCTTCTTTGAGTGGCTTTTTGGGTGGGTCCCGCTGGATCAATTCTGGTCCGTCTCTTGGATTTATCCCACCCATGCTGTCTGCAGTAGTGCTCCTCCGCCCGGAGTCTGAGCACGCTGTTTCTCTGTCTCTGTGGTCTGCTTCCCTGACCAGACCACTGGACTTTTGCCACTCGCGTAAAAAGAAAGTGCGCCTCACCGTGTTTGCTTTACTCTACTCTAGTAGGAACGGATTAGTCCTGGCAGTAAACTGCGTTTCGCGACGATTTTCGTCTCTCCGGCAAGTCCGACGCAAGTCCGACGCTCCGCGAACGCTTGCGAACGCTTGCGAACTCTTGCGAACGATTGCGGACGATTGCGAACGCTTGCGAACACAAACGCAACGACCTCGCGTCGCCTCCTGGACCCCTGGACCCCAACCTTAAAACGGGACCCTTCTGCTACACATTCGGGAAAAGGTAAGCGTAGAGGACGAAGCATTCTGACTGGCTAGTGGTTACAACCAAGAGATATTTCCGCAGGTGTGGGAACAAGACCACACCGCTAACCCCAACTGGAAGTATATACTCATGTCCAGAGAGAAGCGGAACTCGCTTGTTTGTGGAGAAGCGCCAAAGCGCGTGCAGCGGTCGCGCACGGCACTAGCAAAAATATTGCGGATATCCAAGGTGTCCGGGAGTCTAGTTCATTTCAACATGTCCGAACACCACTGACGGGGAGGGCAAAAGAGGAAGAGCTTCGGAGCCGAACTAAACACGTGCAAACATAGTTTGCAGATGAAGTGGGCAGACCCTTTGAAAACCTTCTTCTACATATTTTGATGGTACTAGCTAGTTTATTTTCCAAACCACCGGCTTAGAATGCGTAGTACAACCACAGGTTTGAACTTGTGACCTTCCACCTGCCTTGGGCGGTGCAAGTGGACCTGGAAGCCCATTCAAGAACTTGCAGCGAGAATCATTTCTTTGGTGTGGCAAGTTCCGGTGGCATCAGCACAAGGAACAGTAACACGTTATGCTGCAGCCATCTGTGGCAGCCCAAGGCACCAACACCATCGTCTGAAGACTTGGAACACTATCGCCAGGCTCAATCCTCATCATGTCTGCATGTGCAGTGACAGCAAGGTAGGCAATACCAAGTCAATGAGGCGGTCAAGGAGCAACTGCACGAGCATGAAGCTGAGGGTGGTTCATACCTATTTGTCCACGCGGCAACATTGATCGGCTTTCACTTTCCTGACTTCGAGCATCCAAGGATTCGCGGGTCTTTGCAGTGCAAGGTACGCACAGATGCGCTGCTGCCTCCAAGCATTCACAACACGTTCCAGGCACAGAACACGTTGATTCGAATGCCATGGACTTTGAAGTGCTTGCTCAGCGTTTTTGAAACTGCGCACCTGCATGGCAGTCGACCGTGTCCCCGTTCAACGTGGACCTTTGGGCAGAAATTTTAGGCCGCAGCCCAGAGCAGATGCAGCATAAGCAAGGGGTTTCCTTCCCGTTCAGATTTATGCATGCATGAGTTTACAAATCCTGTATCCTGCTATCATGCATTCTCAAACAGGACTTTACACGCTGAGGGTTGTCAAGCAGTATTTTTGCTCTGCTGTGTTAGTGGTGGAGGCAACCTCTTCCACGTTGAGAGGTGGAGTTGTGGGGGAAGATCACCGAAAGCATGGTACAGACAATGAGTCCAACATGTAGCAGTCAACCGTAACATGGCAGCACACTTGTTGGACGTACTCTCCGTTCCACTTCCAGGACATGATAAAAGAAACACAGAATCTGGTCAGTTGCCAGCTTGGGTTAGGAGCGCACAACAGTTGTCAAAAAAGATCTCATCTCAACTTTGTAAGTGTAACACCTGCATCAGCCGCGATATTCTGATGCTTGCGGGGAAGGAAGGCCGGCTGACAACGGTTGGTCTAGTTTTTTGTTTTGCTTTGCGGCAGCATTCGTGCAAGAGACAGAGCTTGAACAGATTGATTAGGTGGCATGGCTTCAACAGTTTGCGCTTCTAGCTCTTCATTGGAAAGCCAACTGAGTCCGCATGAGAGAAAAGAGGGATAGAGAGAGAGTGCTTTGCATTGTTTTGCTACTTTCGCCAGGTCATCACCAAGGCCAGTCAGAGGACCCAGGCGATGAGGTTTGCATCTTACAAGGCTGACCAGCACTCAGCAGTCATGGGGGCCTCGTCCAGCAACAAGGTGCCACCAGAAAGATCGCCCTCGCCTGGCCTTTAGGCTCATAGAGCCCATGCGTGCGACGTTTGCTTTGCAACGGCTGCTGGCACAAGAAGTGCTGGCGGCTGAAGCTTACAATGCTCCCAAAGTGGAGCAGAGCCTCATGCCTCTCTGGGCCAAAAATCTCGGTAGAGCGTAGGTCGTGACATTGGAACTTGGAACATGTCCATTTGCATTTCCTGCGCCATATGTTCGAGGGCTCTGCACTCATGCTCTCAGCAAATTGCGCGTCAGGAGACAGCCTTTGACCAAAGAATTGTCCAGTCGTGCGAGCCTTTACTCAGGCAAGTTCCACTGCTCATAGCACGATTTGACCTCTAAGGTGTGTTGTTCCACAGCTGCCGCCAAAAGCTATGTGAGATGTTCTCAGAATTCGCACGCGTGCGGACAAAATTGGCACACCTGTTGCCTCCCAAGCTGCCGAGCCGCTTGACAGCTGTTCCAGTTCCAGCTGGCGTCAAAAAATTGTTTTGATAAATGAGGGCTTTGCCAAAGCTTTGGCTTTTCCGATTCTTGGAAATATTTGGGACGAAATTTGAAAGAGATTTGACCCGAAAAATATATGCTGGAACGACATTATGCGTCAATAATATGCGTTTTGAATTACTGAAATTTATATATATATTCTACGATTTTCATTTATATATATTCTAGTTGATTTTAAAGATTTTGGAATAGATTATATCCTAGAATTTCGTCATTATTTCAGCATTATATATATATATTCATTTTCAAAGGAGAAATTTTAATGATAAATTAGAATTAATTGAATTAGATTATTAATATATAAAATTGTCGATAATTATAATTGGTCTAAAATATATGATTTTTTTTTTTTAATATCGGATATTGTTATTGATGAAATAAAATTCAAGAAAAATCTTGGAAATATTATATATATCTAATTTTGGCGATTAAAATCGTTTTCGGATGAAAGGTATGATGATATTTTATCGTATTCTATAAATTATTTATGTGTATACGATTCTGTCGAGAAATCGATGTTATTTGATGATATTTTTCTTTTATTATTAGATCTTTTTTTATCTTTTTTTAGAATAATTTTGAAAGGGAGTAGGTATGCTAAGATAAGATTAATATTGACTTGAGTTTCAAGATAGGGGAGGAGAAGCGGGAATATATTCGCCTCTAGAATCATAAGAATAAGATTCTTTTTCTATATAATGAATAATAATAGAAAATATTATTTCATAATCAAATTTAAGATTAATATTATCTTCATTTTTAAGTATATATATTTATACTAAAATTATGATCTTGAAAATTAGTAGGATAAATATATAAGGACTAGAAATAATAATGAGAGCCAATAAATTGAGATATATGATAGATATGATCGTTTTATATGAATGCCGATATACTTAAAAAATATTCGAAGATTGATCGGATTTCAATATGAAAAAAATATACGAAATATATATCTTAATAGGAAATATTTTTTCTGACGTTTTTTATTTAGAAAATATATATAATTATAAGGACTCATTACGAAGCGCCAAAAAAAATTCAGAAAATGATTAAAAAATATCAGAAAATAATAATAATAAATATATACCTAAATATATGAAGCCAAAAATATAAAAATATTGAAAATGGAGAAAAAATAAATATGTATTTTCCGAAAAAATAATATGCTTTCCAGGAAGCTCGGATTCTTTTTTTTAATTTGGGATATTTTTCTTATTTCTTCATTATCAGCAAATCGAGAATTTCCGATTCCTCTCCGAATTATATACGCTGACCTCAGTCAGAGATATGGCTGTCGCCGGATATCTTTGAAGAATAAGTCTATATCATGGAATCCCGCAACATATTCCCAAAAATATGATTTATAAATATGTGAAATTAGAATCTTGAATTCTCTTGAATTCCTATAGGATTAAAAAAAATATATGCAAGGAATTGGAGCTTCGCCCTCTCTCAAGTCAGTTTCATTTATCTTATATCTTTATTACGAAGAATAGAATCTTATATCGTTTATAGAAATAGAGATTTAGTTATGCGTGACCTAATTGGGAAGATGTTGATTCTTTTGGATTCTATAGATATTTGCGTTCCTTATTTTTTCGAAAGAAAATATTATTTTCTGCCGAAAAATCAAAATCATCTCTATATTTCGAAAAATTTTTTCTATCGATATGAATAATATTGTAATATTCTAATGATTTCCGATATTATATATATATATCAATTATAGGGAAGAAGCCTCAAATTCTTGGTCAAATCTCTTATAAATTTGGCAGCAAATTTACAAGAAAAGTCTTTGACCATGGGCTCCTCATATTCGCTTGCAAAATCTCTATTTTATATATATGTTATATTGAATTTTTTTTTTTATAAATCCTGTGCCTCTCGTCTTCTATATATAAAATCCTCATTATCTTGATTTTCAAGAAGCCATTTAAAAAAATTTTTTTCAAAAAATTAAAATGAATTTCTCAAATCATCTATCATATAAATCTCTTACTATATATCTTGTAAAATCCTAAATAGAAATTCTTGAATCCTGCGTTCCTGCTTGCCGTATTTTCTATGTACGTCCTATATATTATATAAATTAAGGCTAAGCAAACCTAAATACCTGCCAGCCCCAACTTAAATACCCCATCTTCTCTTTATGTTTCTTCTTTTTTATGACAAATAAATCTTGATTTTTTGCCCCAGAGGCCTCCGCCCAAAACCTAAACCCCTGAACCCTAAACCTTTTCGCCCCAATAGCCAAAGCCCCAAAACTATAATATTAAATCAAGGCTTTAGGATTTAGGATTTAAGGTTATAGGAATTGGCACCAAGCCCACTAAAAAACCTAAGCCCTAAACGCCTAAACCATAAACCCCTAAACCCTGAACCCCCAAACCCTTAACCCTTCAACACCTTTCAGTGCTGACCTGATGCTTGGTGGAATCCAACTTTGCCTGGGCCCTTAGAC